TTATTTAATTTAATTTATACCCCGCCTATCTGGACCGATGGATGATTTCTGAGAAGGTTACAACAATTCCAGAAAACCAACAATTCCACACCAAAACCTTTTAGCTTCTTTTGCACAGGATAGGATAAAAATGTACAGAGATTATTTTGGCTAAGCCACAATTAGAAAGACTTACTCCTTTTCCCAAGCCAGAACTTTCATCAGCTTTCCTGTGTCATTGTAGTAATTCTGAATAGGAAATGTGATCACAAGGGCTGTGGCATTATTGTAATTTTCATCTATACATTAAAAAAAGAGAGAAAATGCACAAGGAACTTAAAAAAACATACAGGATACTTTTCTGTAAACTTCACAAGGAATATTCTGATATGCAAGTTATATTTTCCAAATAGATTGTTTTAAAGCTTCTTTCCAAATCTAATTAATGCTATTCTCCCCGGATGTGAGCCAATTATTCTACTACCAAAAGAAAGCATTCTAGGTGCCATTCTAGCTGCATCCCTGTCCTCATAACTCATCCATGCAATGTAGTGCTTGGCTCTTCATAAGTTACCTCACACTTCTGTTTTCCTCCAGGGTGGTTATAGAATTTAATTCTAAGAGAATCAACTATTATTTCTCAAATGATACAATATTCAAATAAAAAGTAAAGAATATTAGCTCAGACAAAGGCTGGCAAATGTACATTGAAATAAGTTGGCTCTCCAGTGACTTAAAATTACATTAAAAAGGGAATCTTTTTTCACTCAGACTATTCACTTAGTTTAATTAATCTTACCTTTTAAACAAAAGGAGGATGAACACCATCACCGCATAATGCAACACAAACGAAAAATTTAATTGATTTTTTAAAATTGATCTCCACATAATGGCTGAAATCGTGCTGTACAGCTCCATGTGCGCACCAGTGACGATGTCAACAGCAACAACAAATCACTGCTGATTTAATGAGATCAGCCATTGACTAAAGGCAATTTTAGAGTGTTTCACACAACACAACAAAATCACATGTATTCCAAAACTCCCACAAGAAAATTTTCATCTGTGGCAATTTGCCACTGCTGATTACATCATCACGGGTGTGCACATGGCACTGCGAAACAGGACTTCAGTGAATATTTTCTATCTAGCTGCAAAACAACATATCTCATAGATTCCTTTAGAGAAAGCAACAGAACTTCTTATTTGCAAGTTGCCTCACTACATTGTCTACTATTCCTCACTACAACACTGGCTGAAATTCGTTGCTTAGCTGCAATAAGCTGCAACTAGAGTAGGTCCACTAAATCAGCAGGGACTGGTAAGTCAACTATTTCATAAGTTCTATTGATTCAATGAACCTAACTCTAGTTGTTACTTAGTACCATAAGCAGAAAGATTTCAGCCATTATGTGCTATGACAGAGATCCTGCTTTTAATCTGGGATACAAGGAGAATATTTCAGAACTCAGGTGATTGGCAAGAAGCTGCACACTGAAACTGCTGCATGAGACAGACAGCCTGAAAATGACAAAAATTGGCTTTGCCAACATGCATTTAATTAAATTAGAGAACTAAACTCCCACCTCTGTTTCATTACATCACACCTACCATCATATCCTCCCATCACTAGCCATGGGAAGACAGGACCACCAAATGTTCCTAAGCATGGATCATGAAGCAGGGTTGTATCATTCAAAGATGCCGGAGCCCTGTAAAATTTATTATGATGTCAGTAATTATCTGAGAACTTTTAAATGCATATTACCTATGACCAAGGCTCCCTCTAAGGTGCATGACTGCACACCTGCGAGCAACTGTGCCCCCCCTCCGTGCAGCACTCCTCTTCCACACACCCACAGTGATAGTTTCCAGTCTCTCTGGTTCTGGTTGTGATGGATTATCATGTGGGGGTGAGGGTGGAGGCGCATGCACAGGAGAGAGCAGAGTCCCGCACGTAAATGGTGGAGCCCCATCCAATGGGGCTGAGGGAATATTCCCATTACAGGGAATGTTGCCAATGACAATACTGAGTAATCACAATTTATCAATTACGTAATCCAACTAATACATCTGCTGTTAGCTGTGCATATGATGCTGAAATGAGCCAACCACGAGCTATTCAGTAAGATGGTGGAGCCTGTAAAACTTCTGATTTATTCTGAAAAGTTCTCATTTTTTCCCTAAGTCTCTATTTCATTCCACTGCTTAACACTTCATATCTAACAGTAGACCTTATCTGGAAGTAATGTTCATCAAAGCAGTTAATCCTCCTTATCTTAAAACAAGTTCAATATGCTGTCAAATCTATTCCAACATGGCAACCCTTTTCAGGGTTATCCACGTTACAGACTAGTCAGAAGTGACCTACAATTCCTTTGTTCTTGGGGCACTTTGGGACCATGTAGCTTGTCTCCCTACAAGCAGAGACACAGGATGTCTCTACTTGTAGGAGGCACAGCAAGAAATGAAACTTCCAACCTGACTCCACTGTCAGATACCTAATTCCAGGTATTCAGAACTACTAAACCTTCCAAGCAGAAAGACTGGCCCCATTCAAACAATGATTTAGGGCTTCACAAACTATTATGTGACATTAAGCCTACATTTCCCCGTTTAGACATAACAGGAAAATAGTCAGAATACAAACAGAAATTGCCAATTAAATGGGGGAGGGGGGATGAGGCTAGACAGAACTCATGGATTCACTCATGGATTCTATGCTTTAGAAAGCTTCAAATGGAATCCAAAGTGAGCCAGAGACTCATTTATTTTGTTACAGCAGGCTGAAGAATCTCCGTCTTAAGGACAATATTACAGACAAAAGAAATTCAGCCTGCCAAACTGATAAAGTAAGTTTTGAATTATTCCTATTTTCCTTAAGAGGATGGGGAGAATATCGCCACAAAGCTTACCGAACACAGTATAAGAAGTGAGAGTGGTAGTCGGCATAAACAAAAAATTCATCATGAATATTATGATCTAGGACAGAATGGCTGTTTTGAAAATAGTTGAGCACACTCAGAATAGTACAGTTGTTGTTGTAGGGAGCAAGAGGAGTCAGGCATATGTCCTTCAGCATTACAGTGCCATTATCGTAGGTAGCATTTATGTTTTCAATAGCATTCTGTAAGTCTAGCACCTGGATATATGAGAAACCGGAGAAGTGACATTTAATACAGCAAAGGAACATGATTTTTCCTATTTTCATGAATCTGTCTATAATATACAGTGAATGAACCTCAGATAAAGTGCATTTTGACAAAAAGTTAGGCTCCTAACACAAACATAATCATCGATTTTAGATGCTCAAAAACCTGGAAAAGTCTGTTCTCAATACACAATCTAAAAGAGGTTAAAAGCCAAAAAGAAGCATCATAATGGGTGGGTGGGAGGAGAAAGACAGAAGGAGAATGTGCTGTCATTAACAAAAATAAAAAACTCATTCCACCTCCTAGCCAGGACTAAAAATCTATTTTATGTGCTTGTATAAGAAGCATTTTTGCCAAACATTTGGTCTGTCACGTTGTTCTTACTGAACTGATCCCTTGTTTTCAAGGCTGCTTTGATCAGTTTTGCTTTATGTCATCATTTGATTTTCCACAATCTCCCCTTTCCCCTTCATAACCTGAATCACAGTCTCCTGTGTTTAGCAAGGTGTACAAAATGCTGAAGCAGCATTCTGGGAGCTGAGCAGCAAAATCAGCAGGTAAGTATCTAAATACAGTTTAAGTGGTACAGCAAAAATTCTTAACAAGTGGTAATCAAAGGAAGGAAGTAGTAGTCCAACACTATCCCTTTATCTACCGAATGCGCAAAGAACCAACTGGTGTACTACCTGATGCAAGATATCTTTTGTAAGAGGAGGTCCAAAAGGAACATCATCTCCTGATGGATATGGAGAGTAGATATCTGGCTTGGCATGTGGGGCTTGAATAATAAGTTGCTCGGTGCGAAAGAAAGGTCCAAAGTGAGTATCGAAATATTCCTTCTCTTTTCGAGCTTGGCTACTGGGAGATGACCAGAGGTCTATAGGATTGGTAGTTAACTTGACAAATGTCAGACCTGAGGCACACATGACAATAATTACCACAGAAAAGAGAACAACAGGCCTTGGATTGCGAACACAGAAAGCCCCCCATGATGTAAATGTGACTCTTAAAGCATTCTCAAACTTTTCTCCAAGCCTTTCACACCACGTCGCTTCTCCTGCAAAAAACAAAAAAACAAAAAGCAAAAAGCAAGAAAAAAAAACATGAAGAATGAAGGTTTCCATTTCCAACAAGTCCTTTAACCAAGTTCATTTTCCTGAACCCAAAATAGGTGCAAAATTGTCAGCATGACATGGAAAAGAGCATCATGCTATTGTTAATCCTGAATGCACTGAAAATAGGGCACTACACAGCCAATATATCAAAAGGCACATCTTCTATGCTAGGAGACAGTAAATGGTAGTGAGAAGAAAATGTTAAAATGGAGGGGTGGGCATTAGCTAATGTTATTTTAAAATAGAATGACATTATTTGATCTCTTTTATTACTGAAAATAACACAAATATAAATGTACAGCTGATTATTCAGGAAATACATGGTGTACAGCTGATTCTTCAGGAAAAACTGTTCCACAATAAAAACAATTCACATTAGGCAATTAAAACCATTCATGCAGTAAGAGAATACATGATACATGCAGTTAAACTAAACTGTTATGTCATAGAACTTACCAGCATTCTGATGTGAGTTAACAGAATAAGCAATGTTGCTGTCAATAGGTGTGTATTCAGAAACAAAGTGTCTTTTCCTACAATGAGATATATACACAGACCATTATTTAGGACATGATTTTAAGATTTGTCTTATTTATTACTGCAATTTCAAGATAAACTAGGATACAGTTTACAAATATTATATTTGGCTGGATATAAACCTAATAACACAAGCTGTAGAAACAGACAACTGTGACAGAACCTGATCTTTTTGGTATGTGAAGCTGTGAACAGATCTTGAATGGAACAGTTCTTGAAAAGTTTTGGAAACTGACTCTTCACTAGCAAACAATACATCAACTTCAACAGTATTCCAAACACCCATATATAAGCCAACTGCAACTGCTAAGATGTTGAGGAAACACCTAGAGGAAACCTGCACCAAACCTGACCACTTCTGTAAAGCATTCAGGGTCAAATCAATGGCTGTCCTAAAGGATTCTGTTCTGACTTCGATCAACCAAATACCTATGCAAACTTCACATATGCTGCTCACATTTATGGCAAAGGAGTAAGGGCTCTATACTTCAATACTCCTCTGTGAAATAGTCTTTTTCCCCTCATGTCAGAAGCACTACAGTGAAATAAATGTATCAGATAATTTTGTCCAATAAGAGGCATTATCAAGAGTATTTGAGACAGCTAACTTATCATTGTGCACATGGAAGAGCATAGAGTACACTAACATAGGTGTGAAATTGCCTCTTCTTCTGCACTCTCAAATAACAGTGTCAATGCAAAAACCCCATTTTCACAGGTTCACTTTGATTCTGCCAACTCCACTCCATAGCCCAGTAGTAAATTCCAAGGAACCCAGTTCTCTGTATAACTCGAGGTTCAACTTTCCTGGGGTTCCATCCAGTTTCAGAGATCGATAGTTCTTGTTTTCTGCATTTATAATCCTGGTATTCTCTGCTGTTTCTTCCAGATTTACAAATGTTCTCAGTTTTTTTTCTTCATTTCAATCTGGGGGTGGGGAGGCAGGATGGTAGCCAAACAATAGGTGAACAGTTGATATAGATGTTTTGAGTCTTCCACTATCAGCTGCTATATCCCCCATATGTCATTGGATGCACAGGTATTTTCAGCACAACCCAGTATCTATTTTCCGATCACTACATGATGTACTAGCAATTGTGAACCAGCCCGACCCTTTCCTATGGCTATATGCACCTTTTTGGATCCCTGGCAGGGGCTAGTGTTATTGTTTTATTAAGCATGGTAGTGCTCACTGGTGTTGATCCAAAGCAGCACTGATAGGTGTTTCCTCCAACAATGCAGTATTATATCACTTAGGTGGTAAGCCAATGAAGGAATGCACCCCTTACCAATAAATGAAACAACAACAACAACAGCTTTTCCCCACTCAGGGGGAAGCAGGAGAGATGAGGGGGCATGGAGGCTAAGACAGAGGAATGGACTAAATTGGATCACTTTGAGATATGGTGTGGTTCCCTATCCTGAAACCACCTGATCCTGGCATGTGAATGTAATGATCATTCGAAATCTCAGTGATCATGTTTAGCCCAATCTAGCCTAGGATATCATCACTGTCTAGTTGCACCTTCGTTTTAACAACAGTGGTTGGCTTTGAGCACGTAGTAATGATTCTACAGCTTTCATTGAGTGCTATGTCTACCTGTTTTGAACAAGCTGAACTCTACCACACCAGACTGGTTTATTCACCTGCAAAGCAGCATAGGGCCAAGGCTGTACATCTTAGTGTTAGTGCCTGCATGCCACAGCTAGTTCCTGATCACTTTCAAAATATACTATTGCTTGTGGAGACCTTTTACTTTGCATTGTGGTAATGTTTTTATGAGCTTCCTCAAATAATGCGAGGAACATGTACGTATTCAGACATCCCCTAGGAATGACAGCACCCTGTCAGCTGATCCTTCCACTCCAAAAGCACCACTAGAATAGTGACTATAGAATGGTACAGTTGCCTTTTATAGGTTGCACGTCTAAATAGAATGTTTCTGTCTTATCATTTTATAGTGCTGAATGTATTCATTAATTTTATCACACTTGGTTTCAGGTGTAGATCACTTGAATCTTTTTAAAACCACTATGGCTGAAATCTAGTAGTAAGTCACAAACCGAGTAGGCCTAATGAATCAATGGAATTTACAAAGGAGTTGATCCACCAAATCACCAGTGATTCAATGGACCTACTCCACTTGTGACTTACTATGGGATTTCAGCCTATATGTGTCAGGAAGTCTAATCTTCAGTTTACCATAACCTTCTCCTGAACATGTTACTGATTTGCGTTAGTAGAGACTATCACTGATGAAGAATTCATGTTCCATTCTTGCTGTGTAACCCTTCCGTGAAAAGCACAATTCAAGGAAAACATTATCTTATTTTTCATTTTAATGTACAAAATGTTCCTTAATTCTTCAGCGCCATCTTATAGATACCATTTAAACTCTTCTCAGGTCTGTGCAGAATGCAAATCTACAGGCTCCTAACATAAGCATATAAACAAATATACCTCTGTCACAGATCTGAAAAAGCACTTGTAACATTTTGCACAATAGTCCACATAGAGCCACCATCACTGCCTGTTTCCTGCTCAATTCAATTTTTATATACTTTATACCAGGAGCAGGAAAGTTGGGAGCTTCCAGACCATACTTTCTATTGTTCCAGACCTGTTGTACTGTTAAACTACAACACTTTATATTGTTAAACTACATTCTCCATAATTTCTGACCATGCTGTTTGGAGGTGATGGGAACTAAAGTACAACAAGAATGGAGCACAAGGTCCCAACCTCTTCCCTGTCCAACCTCCCCTGTCCAACAGCAGTCGTGTTACTGCAACCTCTGTACTTCTTGACAGTTCTCGACTTGCTTTTCATAATGAGCAGTTCATGAAATATGCATGTTAATAGACAGAGCTACAGCTATTTTGACTGAGAGCACAACATTTAGCTTTTACACCTTTTAAAACAGATTTATCTCTTAATTTCAAACCTGTTATAGACTTTTGACTTTTCAAACAATACATTCAAACACTCAAAATGTCTGTTTTCTCAGCAAAAGTACAACTGCATCCACAGAAGAGTTTGTACAAACCAATTTTTCTAGAGGCTTCTATGAAATATGAGACAATTGTTTCATTGTACTAAACATCAATTGGTAAGAATAAAAAAAAGGAATCAAGTGCTGGATATACAATTGGGTGCATTATTTCCCTATACACTCCTTTTTAAAGCAAGCAATTAGGGCAGGAACAGCCTATGACTACTAACCACTGTTCACAGGACAGTTGTTTGCTTTGTCTCATTTTCTGTCCCTTTGAGATTTCAGAGCTACAGTTGATTCAGCTGAAGATATAATGCATGATCGATCCTGCAATGCTGGAGTTTTGCCTAACACAACACCACTATAAAAAGTGACCTCAAGGCATGCCACTCAACCAGTTTCTAACTCAATTAATAGTAGTTTGCGCAGGTCTGAAGTTTACAAGTGTTTAATTGCTTGACCTTCACTTTTATGTATCAAATGCATTTTTAATAGATTGCAGGGAATGTGGTATGAGTGAGTAGTTAACTGATCAAATACTGAATAAAAACCAAGTGTTGTTTTGCTATGGATATGTACTGAACAGCACTATTGAAACTGTGTCTTTCTTTACAGTAAACAAGTTCATAATTTTCACCCCACACCACAATAGATGGTGTGTGTTTTTTAAAGAGAAATGGCTATTTACCTGTAACACCAAACTCCAAAAACCACTCCAAAAAAGATAAGTAAAAATGCTGTGTAGGCGATCCACATGATGACATACATGGCATCCAGGCCAAGCAGAAGCCAAGGTGCAGGAGGTGAAGGAGGCTGTGGTTTGGGGCCACAAACAACAGAACAATCCTGACAACTGCAGGGTCCTGTGACATCATCCACTGACTCATTGCAGCCTTTGGTAGCATTATTCATTGGAGTCATCCCATGGGTAGGAGTATCTAAAAAGATAAAAGTTCGCACGCAAAAGCCAAAAGCTTGTAGTTATAGAAGAGAGTGGACAACTTCCACATGTGTCCATCTCTGGACCTTGAAGAGCTACATTCATTCGCACAACCCCCATGCCATTGCTTTTCTTACAACAGTTTGGCTTTTTTCGCACTGGAATTTCCTGTAGCACCCTCCAGCAGTCAATATATATATTTCATTTTAAAAATATGTGACCCGTAGGTGCTGCAAGCCCCCCAAAACTTGAAAAAAATGCCCCCACCCTCCAGAGAACACAAGGACAATTAGAGGATTTTCCCCCCAAAATTTTCTTTCTTTTCTTTTCTGGGAGATTTGGGGGTGCTATAGACTGGGTTTTTTAAAATAGATATAAGCAAATATGAATAGTTTTAATTAAAGGCTTCATTACTAGATCATTAGAAAAGTTTCAGTTCAACAGCATGAACATGTTTGAACAAAAATAACAAAGGGACACTCATGTTTGTCCCTTGCAACAAAATAACAAATTGTCTTGTAGGGCCTTACAGACCAGAACAGTAGCAACTTTTGACCATCCAGAAGTTGACTTACAAGTACTCCCATCAACCCTCACTACAGGACAGATGGTTTAGATCAGGGGTCTCAAACTCAATTTACCCGGGTGTCACTGGAGGCAGAGTCTGGGTGAGGCTGGGCCGCATCAGATTTTCTGCCAAGCAGAGCAAAAGCCATAGGAAGCCGCCAAGGAGTTTCCTTAGCCCGGCTGGGGCTTCGAGGAGGAGGAGGGGCGTGCGAGCCCTCGTCGCCAGCCACGATCCCCTCCAGCTCCTTCTTCACTACCATCCTACCACCACCAGCAGGACGAAGAAGCGGAGAAGGGAGGGAGCGCCAGCGACCACCTAGCGGGGCGGGGAGGGCACGACTTAAAACTTTTTAAAAACCCTCACAGAATTGCCTTGCCAAAGGACAAAAGCCCCCATCAGTACCTGCGAAATTAAACAGAACGAGGTGGGGGGGCACATGTGCACGCACGCACGCACGCACATGCACACACACACGGAAGTCCAACAACCTTCCTCTGAGGGGCCTTCTAAAAAAAAGGCACACTCAGCAGAAGCAGCTACCCCCCAACCACGACAGAGGAGCAAACTTTGCGAGGCGAGTCCAGGCAGCCTCCAGAGCCGAGGCGGCTGAAGCAGGATGAAGAGGAAGAGGAGGAAGCACCGCCGGGTGCTGAGGCGGCCACTGGCCGGGCTGGTGTTGGGGGTGCCAAGAAAGACAGCCAGACAGCCACTTTCCTGGAAGAGGCGGCGGCAGTGGCAGCTATTGCTGGCGGCTTGGAGGTGCTCTTCCGAGGACAGGAGCAAGCTCCGTTCTCAGGCATCGCTCAGCAGCAGCTCGGGCGCTCAGGGAAAAGGGCCAGCAGTGTGCCTCGCTTGCCGGCTCTCTCCCAAGACAGCACCTCTTGCACCCTCCATCCTGAACTGCAGCCTGCCAGCCGGCAGACAGGCAGGCTGGCTGGGAGGCTGCAGTTCCAGATGGAGGGTGCAAGAGGTGCTGTCTTGGGGACAGCCGGCAAGCGAGGCGAGGCTTTTTTTTGACTCTTGACAGCAGAGGACGTGTGGGCACTTCAGGGGGGTCAGGCAAGGCGGGGGCCACAAACTATCATCCGGCACACTGCAAATAGCCCCCGGGCCGCATGTTTGAGATCCCTGGTTTAGACCAATGGAAACTGGAGTCCATCACTATATGGGAAAAACACAGGTTTCCCAGGTTTCATGTTTAATAGATACACTCCACTTTATCAAATGCACAGTTACATTGCCATTTAAACACAACTACAGTAAACATGGCTGACTTTTTTTAGTACTGAATATGACAGTATGCCCTTGTGTATCGGTTATTGGAGATCATGAACACAGAGTGCTGTTGTATTCATGTCCAGTTTGCAGCCTTCCTATAGGTAAGTGGCTGGCCACTATGGGGAAAAAATGCCAAAATAGATAGGCCTTTGGACTGATGTGTAGTGACTCTTCTTATGTTCTAAAACACACCATTTAAATATTCCAAGATAGCAGTTCCCACTAGTTATGCTCAATAAGGAAAAATATTTTAATTAATTTCTGTTTCTTACCTGAAAATATCGGGATCATATTGAAAGGAGTTTGGCCATTATCCTTACTGAACATATACTCAATCCAGTTTGTTGCATTGCATTCTTTAACATCTTTTCCACACAATAATCCCAATGCTTTAACATTGCTTGATGGGGCCTCCACATCTTTACAGGCATTATACATAGCTGAAGTGCAATTAAATAAAGGAACAGACCAAGACAGCGATATTGAAGGATAAAACAAAAGCAAAAACCTAAAAGCTAAATCAGCAATAAAGCAATCTGAGTTCAACCCAAGAGAACTAAAGAGGAACAATTTTGACCCAGTTCTAGATAAGCACTTCAAGCACTTCATCTAACCAGTTTCCTCATTACAATGGGTATCCCCATTGTTATCTGTCTACTGCAATGTAAGTGAGAAGCATTTATTTTTTTCACATTGCCTTTCACACAAATCAGAACTGCCTTCTGTAAAAATGAGCCATGCAAAGAAGGCAGGAGACAAGGACAAATAACACAACCCAATGCTGTAGCAGCATATTCTGTTTATTATGGCAACAAATGCTCTATTCAAGACACTCCCTCTAGCAAGGCAGGATATGACAAAGTGATTATCAAGGCAATTGCTCGACTTTCATTGCTGCCCAGCTAGATAAAAGTGAATTACATCTCCTCATAAGGCTTTAACAAAATGGAACAATTCTCAATTCTTCCTGTTGAAGAACAATGTAGATAAAACTAATTGCTACCTCTACATTGATTTAAACCATTTACCTGAAAGTGAAGAACCAATTTAATTATTTTTCATATTTATATGCGCTCAACCAACAAAGACACTTTATTTTCATCTCATGAGAATACAGTACTCTTATTTGCCCAGTGACCATCAGACCTTACTTAACCTAGGAATCATAAGCATTTCATTTGTCTGATGGTTTAGTTTTGTGAAAGCAAGGCTAGAACATGTCAGAATGGAGCAGAAAGGAACAACAGTGGACAGAAGGAAAAGCAAAATTGACAGCACACAGGTTCCTATATTCCCATACGCACAATGCAATCACATCTATTCAAGAAGTTATTAGAGTTGCTGGTTGTTCTATATTCCTTTAAGAAATATTTGAAATACAGTATGTCCACTCAACAGATTAAAAATATATAAATGCACATCTAAGTACTGAACAGTATAAGCAATATTCAGTAGCAAATTAGCATGCTTAATTATAATTCTGCACAATTGTTTTTAGGCCTCTCTTACTGATTGAACTGTTTTGATTTAAAATAAACTACACTGCTGTTATCTCAAACAGAGGGGAAGAATCAGCTCCACAGTCTAGGACAGTGGTTCCCAATCTTGAGTAACCCAGGTGTTCTTGTACTGCAGTTCCCAGGAGCCTTCACCATCAGCTGTGCTGCCTGGGGTTTCTGGGAACTGCAGTCCAAGAACGTCTGGGTTATGCAAGGTTGGGAACCAATGGTCTAGGACAGTGGTTCTTAACCTTTGTTACTCAGATGCTTTTGAACTGCAACTCCCGTTATGCAAGGTTGGAACCACTGGTCTAGGAGACTAACCTGAACTCCTCTGACCTCTCAAACTCTAGCTATGAGTATTCAGGAAGAGAGTGTCAACATGTGAGGTTCCATGGAAGCTTGAAAAAAGAAATAGGGGAAGGTAGGTGATGCTATTTCCCTTATTTACACACATTATATATGGAAATGATTATTCATTATACAATTTTTAAAGAATTGAAAAAAATGGAAAAAATGCAACTAATCCGTCCATTTCCTTACCATTAGCAAATGTTTCTCCAATGTAATACTGTAGCTCTGTAATGCTGGTTTTATTTGTTTTTGTACTTGGATCTAGATATGGTTCTGTCTTTGTAACATTTAGAAATGCAGATTGATGAGGACTGCAGGTGAGTTCACAGAACAGGTTTAATAAATTATAAAAGCATGATGGACACCTAGAAGGCAAAATTGTCCAGTGCTCAGGTTATTCAGCTTCAGGGATTTGTACATTTTTAGAAAGAAAACAAAGCAGATTTAACTGTCAACCTTTAAATTAGCAGTATATTCTTGAAATCTGTGGATAATCAGCTGAGCTTTCTAGCTTTTTTTGTATAGGAAATACCAGGAACAACTTTAGAAAAATAAATCCAACTAAATAAAGTACAGTAGTGAAGTTGCACACAACCAGTGACCTTATCTTATCTGTGCGTACTCAAAAGTCAGCCCCAGTATTTCCATAGAAATTACTCCCATATTAAGAGTGCATAGGCTTGTAGTCTAAGACTCGGAAAACACCATGCAGCATTTTGCCCTCACCACACTATAAAAAGGGCAAATTGAATCACATATACATACTGTACATAAAAAATTATAAATAAAAATGTATTACAGAATTTCTTAAGATAACTTATTTCTAGATTAAGCACAATAAAGCAGTCAATGTTCATACATAAACTTGATGAACCTTATCTGAAACTTGCTTATTAAAATGCATCCACCTAGTAGCATTCTATCATGAGCAGAATAATATCCAGAATATTATCTGAATTAAGAGAGATATAATATTGAAGGTGTAACATTTCCTTCACCTTCCACAGACAACTGAATTCCTCCTTACTTCCTGTAGTGTACTGAAAACCAATAAATCCCCTCCCTACACAGAAGGTCCCAAATGCAACAGCTCCCCCACATACCTAGAGTGTCATAGCCGCCTACAATGGTCTGGTAGCCCAGATAGGTGGCGTACAAATCAAATAAATAAATAAATAAATAAAATACCTGGAAAGAAACTGCAGAGGCAGTTCCAAGTTGGCTTTCAGAGTACGAAGTTGCTCAACATCGCAACAAAGACTCACATTCTCAAAGAGGAAACCTGGGCAGAGTTCCTTAAGAAAAAAATAGATACTTAAAAATATTTTTAAAAGAATGTGGCCTCAAATTTTCCCTAATCACGAATCAAGGTGACAAATGAAATATTAACTATTTTATTAGAAATATTGAGTAACATAAAATATACTGATTAATCTGATATGCAAATGTCTTTTGCACCATTTCTACTTCCATTATCCATTTCTATCCCCATTTCTAAAATTAAATTATGATCCTAATAATTACACATATTCTACTAAATTTTAAGATATATTTAGTACAACTTTAATTCATAAGAGACCTACCTGAACCAAATCATAGCCATCCTTTGGTAGTGGCAATGCTGATCCATTATATTCACAATTATATCTTTTATCTGCAAAAGCAGTCCCACACTGGCCATACCAGATACATGAGTCTGCAAATACCTATACAGCAGGGGGGAAATGAATTAATATTCTAATTAAGGACTTACACAAGATGATGAGAAAGAAAAGTCAAGCATGTCACAGCAATACGTCTGTTAATCTTGATGCTGCAACAGGCTAATATGATTATCAGCTCATATCAAGCACCACAATTTTAACAGATATTTTAATATTTACTGGATACCAGAACTTAAGGAAACCCAGGTTTCAACATACTCACTACCTTGTTTGAAATGCAGACCTGCATTTGAAGATTATTTCAGTTTCAAAAGCAATCACACATGTGCCATGGGGTTTGCTACTGGCTAAATAAATACAGTACAAACTAAATACCCTGTTGAATACTCAGAACTACTGTTGCAATTTTGTAGATTTTGTCTAATGTCTCTGATACCAACGTGTATTTTTAAGAATATGTATAAAGGGATAACTATATTGATCTTTTGTATTTCTACTGTACACTATATATCCTGTTCTCATATAAGAGATGTATAGAAAGATGGAAACTGAGTGAATGTACTGCTAAAATCAATATTCACAGATGTTTGAAGTTTGCAAAAAAAAATTCATTTTTTCTGCTGGTATCTAGAATGCAAATTTTAAAATCTGAAATATATTTTCAAATGGGAAATTTTGACTTTGGTCCTGAGTGTTTCTTTTAATTGTTTTGACTTAGGCAGACTTAAAAAATCAGGTTTCATCGCTATTAAATGTAAAAACATAATTACCACTGTATGACAAATGCCTGTTTCTTTCAAAAAATAACTATGAAATCAATACATGCCAGTTAGCTTCAGCATCCAAAGGGGAGTCAATGAGCCCTACAAAAATTATACATGGCAAATAGAAAGTGGACAGGAAGAGGCTTCTCTTCTTTTACCACTAGAACTCAGTATTCAATAACAAAGTTGACAGTAGATTTAGGAGTGACAAAAAAAGATTAACAAATGGAATTCTCCACCCAACATGCAGTTGTACACTAAAGGCTACAAGAAAACCCTTTCATCACATCAAATGTTCTAATATTGCGATGTATTTTAATGTTGTGAGCCGCTTTGGGTCCCTTGTTGGGAGAAATGCGGCATATAAATAAAACAACAACTACTACAACTACAGCTACAGCTACTGCTGCTGCTGCTACTACTACTACTACTACTAATCATCATCATCATCAAATACCCAACAAATACTTAGGAAAAAATTCAGGTGCTATAAGGTAAAGTTTCCAGAGACCTTTTTTGAAGAAGAATTTTTAGGTGAAAATTTTGTTTCGGTACAGCAGAAGAAAACTACCTAGAGTGAACACATACATTTGGGAACAACCATTAATAGCAAATAAGTGATCTTAGAAACCACATTTTAATATTTATATGGTTTATACTGGAATGGAAAACCTTCTCAGCCTTCAAGTCAAACTGGTTCCAGGCAAACTTGAAAAAGCCATGTATCAGAGGGGGAGGACACACCTAAAGTGGGCAAAACCATCAACTACAACAACCAACGTCATTACCTAGACCTCATTTATGCCCATACAGACATAGGGATCTGCAGCCAGAGATTTCCTATTTACATTTAATACCTACATTTAGTATTGTCTATCGAAAGTATGGGGTTGTATTGCAGGAAAGTATGTTATGGGTGCCAGGTTTCCCTGCAGCTGATTACAGAAAAAATATTAACTTACAGTACAGCAATAACCTCAAACCTGAGCTGAGGATGCTAGAATTATCACTACTCAAAATTCAAGTCAACTAAACATTGTCTTGGCAAATTCAACAAGCAACTTCTTTCTGAATGAATGAAGGCATTTTTGTTCTCCCTTATCTACTTGCATAACACTTCCTTTAATATTGATTTAATCAGAATAATGTGTTAAAAAGTTGCACAGTCTTAAATTTTTGTAATGAAATGTGTACTGAAAATCACTGAAGTTTCACAACTAAAGATGAAGTTAGAGAAAAATCTGCAGTGCAAAAAATTCTTAAGATAAGAGGTTTCACATCTGCCATGTGACAGTCATCTGATAATAACACGCCATTCAAGTGAATGGAAGGAAGCATCTGTCTTTTGTCTCAGCACGACAGAGTGCTCTATTCAGACACCACAGACTAGGATAGGAAGGAAACACTGTACAGAGAGCTGACATAATGGCAATAGCCCTAGTTCGGACCTTATTCATCACTGAGTGACTCACCACTAGACAATCACAAGCAAACCACTATTCTCTTAAACATACAGTATTAGTTTTCAACTCTTCCTTGGGTTGGGCACCAGAAAGCTGTGGATTATGCAGAAAGTAGAAAAAAGTTCCAAAAACCATGCAAACTCAGCTTCCTTTCCCCATTCCACAACAGGAGGACATTAATACTGGAAACTTTTCAGAGCTATTGTAAAGCAGGGATAACTACATTAGAGAAGAAGATTCTTCACCCACAACTCTCCATGGGCTGGATGACATTAAAGTGCATGTATTACTTGAACAGGATCACTGACAAGTTTTTTTTAGTCAATTTCTGATTTACTACCTGGAAAATACATTTTAAGTATTATGTGAATGCTAATTAGCTAACTAAATTATGCTTTTAACTCTTACTGATGCAACAGCCACAAACCAACTAAGTTTACAACTCATAATTATTTTAAAACAATTAATGTTTTCTGACTCAATGTGCATTTCTAAGATTTTCTGGGCATGCTTTTCAGTAAGCAATATTTACAGCAAAATTAACTCAAAAGAAAAAAGAATTCCCTCCACTGTCAATCAAATAAACCAATTTAAAGAGGTTTTCATTTGATTTCCAGTTGAAGCTTTCAAAATGCTGTAGCCAGATTGCTGATGCACTGGTTAAAGGAAACATGTAACTCCCTTATTACAACAGCTTCACTGGCTGCCAGTCTTTTTCCAGGCCCAATTCAAAGTGCTAGTTATAAAACTCCATACAGTTTGGGTCCAGGCTATTTGAAGGATGGTATCACTCTATATGAAACTTTTAAGATAATCTGGGGACGCCATTCTCTCAGTTATACCACCCTTCCAAGCTTGTTTGGGAAGGATACAAGAGAGGGCCTTGTAGGCTTTGGAAAAGCCTACGTCAAGAACCCAGGTTGGCCCACTCTCTCCTGTCTTTCCGTCATCAGGCAAATACCTTCCTCTTCAAGCAGGTTTTTAACCAGTAAGTGTCTCAGGAATGGTCATTTACTAACTTACAGATGTTTAAATATTTTAAATTATTTTTAATCTTAATATACATTTAACTGTTTTCAATATATGTATTGTATATACCATATTTTTCGCTCCATAAGATGGTTTTCAATATATGTATTGTATATACCCATAAGATGCACCTCTCCATAAGACGCGCCTCATTTTTAGGGGAATAAAACAGGAAAAATGTTCTGGCAAATTTGGCCTGCTGGCCCCGCAGGGGGTGGGGGGGAGTCTCGGAAGGGTCCTGGAAGGCACTCTCGGACCCTTCGGAGGCTCCCCCCCACACCCGCTGGGCCCTGGGCAGCGCTGTTCACTCCATAAGATGCACACACTTCCCTCCACTTTTTTTGAGGAAAAAGTGTCTTATAGAGCAAAAAAATATTGTAGTAATTTTATAACTGTTGTTTGTTCTATCATTTTACTTCTTGTGAATCTCTGGCTCCTCTTTGAGAGAAAGGTAGCATATAAATAATTGAAACAAACTAAAAAACACATTGTTTTAAAGATAGTATAAGCTGGCTTTATAACTCAGTGGTTTAGGTATGTGACTTCAATGTTGGGAGTTCAATACACCATTGTGCCTCTTGGGAATAGAGCCAGCCTGTGTGGCCATGGGCAAACTGCACAGTCCCAAGGCATTCCCATTCTTCTACCTGTGCTCTAGGTAGAAGACACTGAAGAGTCACCATAAGTAAGAATTGATTTGAGACATGCAATTATTACTATTAGAGATAAGATGCTATGTTTTTCTTAGGAAGGACCTTCAGTAGTTCTCTGCACATAACGTACTTTGTTTACAAGAACATATTCATATGGTCTATGTTCCACCTTGGCTTTTCTCCTAGAAAAAAGGGAATTTTTGAAATTATATCGTATTAAATCTCTCCTGTCTCTGTTCCTTAGCAGCTATATATGAAGATCGGCAATACAACCCACAAATAGTGAGAAAGTATGGTAATAGAGATTAGTAATTAAGCAATTAGTCTGGGTTCAGCTACACAGTCTTTTGACCAATCTTTGGAAAGTGTGCTTCACTTTCCTCAAGGTCTTGATCTCCAGTTCTGTGACTATGTCAGGCTTTGTTGAGTTTTAGACTTTCTTCTTTTTTGTTGAAGCTCTGCTGGTCTTTGTGGATTTCAATGGCTTCCCTGTGCAGTCTAACATAATGATTGCTGGTGTGTCCAGTACTCTGTGTTTTGAAATAGAATCTCATGTCCAGCTTGTTTCAGGGCATGTTCGGCTACTGGAAATTTTTCCGGTTGTTTTAGTCTGCAGTCTCTCTCATGCTCTTTGATTCTGCTGTGGATGCTGCGTTTTGTGGTTCTAATACATACCTGGCCACAACTGCAAGGTATCCGGTATACTCCTGCAGTGGTGAGGGAGTCCCTTTTGTCCTTCACTGACCGTAACATTTGTTGTATTTTTGTGGTGGGCCTGAATACTGTTTGTAGGTTGTATTTTTTCAAAAGCTTCCCCATGCGGTCCGTGACCCCTTTGATGTATGGCAGAAATACTTTATTTTTGGGTGGCTGTTTTTCCTCTTCAGTTTGGTCTCGTTAGTTTGATGGCTCTTGTGATTTCATTCTTAGAATAGCCATTTGCCTGTAGGGCCCAATTCAGATGACTGAGTTCGGTGCTGAGAAACTGAGCTTGTCAGATTTGCATGGTCTACCAGTGTTTTATGCCTCTTTTTTGTCGTGCCACAAAGTATGTGCCAAAAACACATACCACACAGACTGGTACATGTTTTTGGCACATACTTAGTCTAATACAACACCACCTGCTGCCTGGG